AAAATGCTCTTTTCACGCAACATTGTTGCTTTATCATCGCAAAATCTTTTTTCTAACTCTCATATGTTTCGTTGTTAAAGTTTTTGTAATATACTTTCCTAAATCAAAAATTTAACATTTTACTTGGAAATTAACAGCAGTTTCTTTACCTAAGCTTTTCACCAAATTCATTTACGGTTTCCTTGCTGAACAAAGCATCAACTCATTTTTTGAACTATTTTTTGAACTTTTGTATTCAGCTCTAAGTTACCAACCGTTGTACTATTCAAACTCAATTAATTTCTCCTATTCTTGGCTCACAGGATGTAAAGTATTCTGCAAAATAGCAGATAAAAGGGCTGTAAATAGAATCAAAATAGCCTACGCAAAAAGCACCACTTTTACCTGAGCTTCCGGTATCGCTTGAACATTACAATCAATTCCAAACGAGGATCCCGGAATAACGGTTTGCAGCGGTGACGACGAAGCTGATTCATTGATTATCGGTGGCACTAAAATGAATACTGAAAACTAAAGCCAAAGAGAAATTAGCAAAAAGGTATTGAAGAAAATTGTGTTTTTAAGTGGATATACTGGCTTTTAAAAGTGTTAACCGTGAAGATCACCAAAACTTGGTAGGATAGTCAACTGTTAAGGCCAGAACAAGAGAGACAGCCAAAAATGAAAAAAAAATATTTGATCAAACTGAGAACCTAAAACTTTTAAATGAAACGTTTTTCTGTCTACTCCAGCAGCATTCTTGACGATACAGCTGAATTTACCCGTATGTGATACTTGAGCTGACAGTATGTGCAAGCGTCGGTTACGAGATGATACCTAAAACAGCTGTTAATAAAACAAAATGCTGTAATGATAAGGAATAGTCAGTGGTAAATTAAATAACCATAAATTTAAATTAACCTGTAAATACTCGCTTTCTTTACGGCCACCATCGAAGTCCATTAGTTCTCCATCTTTTAGCCATTCCGTCTTCAAGACTTCTGTGCCCGATGGCTCACATATCAAATCCTGAGGATGGTTTACTTCTACTTCAACAGTTTCAAATTTTGGTCCCGCGATCTTTGGAGGAACTAAAAAATGCTTAGTAAAATAAAGAGAAAGTTTCAACTACCATTTGTTACGATCGTAAAAAAAAAAAAAAAAAAAAAAAAAAAAAAAAAAAA